TACAACTGGTCCTGAATCCTGATCAGCCCAAGTTGGTTGTCGATGGTATCCAGCTTCTCGTCGTTCTTGGGTTCTTTGATATCGCTGCTGGCTGCTCGCTTGAGTCCGAAGAGGTCGGGAGTTGAGGGCTCTGGAGACTCAGCCATCAGCGCAAGCTTGCCAAGACTGAGCTCAATCTTCTTGTTCCAGACTTGTTGCTCGCGGGTCAGGCCGAGGTTAAGTAGAGTCTCCGCAGCATGGTCGATGTCGTCCTCGCCTTGGACGTCGTTGATCCAAGATATTCTGGCGAGCTCAGGCTTCTGGCGGAGGAACTTCGTCCTGTACGCATGGTTGTCGTACTGGAAGTCGAGGACTGCCTGTACGCCGGCACCGTCCAACAAGATCTCGTACATAGGAAAAGCGAAGGCCTCTCCGTACTTATCGAAGTATTGGCCAATCTGCTTTTCCCTCGCCTCGGCCTTGTTGGTGAGTTCGCGAGCCTCGACTTGTGATCGCGAAATAGTAGCCTCTGTCCTAAGAGAATTGATTTGCTCGATCATAGCCAAAGCAAGGGCCCTCCAACAGCGATGCTTCTCGGCAATGTTGATGCTCTCGTCCCACTTACCAAGTCGCAAAAGTGAAAGTACCTTGTCGTTACGATCGGAATCGTAAAGCTTCGACAAGTGTTCCGACCATTTTTGCGTCTTGGCGTCGAGTTGAGCGGAATTCCACCGAGAGGCCTCGAGCAGAGACACCAAGTACTGGTCGGTCAGATTAGAAATCTCCTTGTTGATCTTCTCAAGTAGAGCAGGGTCCGGTTGCTTAGACTTGTCCTTGGTCTTTTCCTTCGGTGGGTAGTACTGGTCTAGCCATGTATGGCTCAACTCAAGCAACCGCTTGAGGTTGTTTGTGATGTAGTGGCAGCCGGTCCATGGCTCAGAAAGGCCTTCGTAATTGTCACGAAGGATACCAAAGTCCAGCTCCTCATCCTCAAGTCCGTAGAAAGCCAATCTTTCTTGTCGGTAGTTCAAAGCTGTCATGAGCGCCACCAAGTTCACCTGCTGAGCCTCGTACATGAGACGAGTGATGCGAACATCATCCATCAAATGATCCTTGTACATGTACTTGATCACCTCATATGCCCAAGCAATGAAGATCTCTAGTCTGCCCACGTCATGAATGAACCAGTGTCTCACTCGGTCAAGCTCTCCAACGTTCCGGTTGGGGGTCGTCTTGTCGTCTTGGTGGATGAACTCAACGATTTCTGCGACCAAATCCTTCTTATCGTTTGCAGGTCGTTCATTCGTAAAAACCTCGTGCTTCTTCCAGAGAATAGTGGCGACCATCATCTTCTCAGCATGAGAAAGCAAAAGCCATCGGGTCCGCCTGTCCAAGTTGACCTTCGTGTGCTTCAGATGAGCCATCAAGCGTTCCAGGGCGATCACGCGGTTGCTGAGGTTGTCTTCCAGAGATGCCGGTACTGTCGAGATGTGCGGTGTTGATGAGCTCATAATCTCATGGCTCAACTGTAGTGCAGCTTCCGCCATTTCGTTGTCTGAGAACTGGACTCCTTTCCTTCCATCGAAAACCAATGGGGTATCTGTCTTGTTGCCGAAGAAAACGGCTTGCTCTAGCTTGCTCTTCGGTGTGACTTTCGGGGGCTTGTCACTGCCGAATCTGTCTATGTCTGTTGTCATCAATCGCACAACGCCTGTACCACGCACGATGAGAACGACTGATGGGTTCTTGGTTTTTTGGCGCTGGCTTCTTGATTCTTCGCTGCCGTTCTGAGGCTCTTCAAAGCCCGAACCGAGAATCTCTGATTGGTTGTTGTCGGAGAGGGTGATCACATCTTCATACGTAGGAGGAATGATGTGATTATCCTCTTGGAGCTGCGAGTCGGGTGACTCCGGGGGAACACCAATTGACGCGACAACAACTGCCTTGTCGAACACAACGAAAGCAACCAGAGCGGGCCGGGGAAGGTACAGGCGAGGTCTTGCGGCCTGCAGTGGGTTCGCCGGGCTGTAGCGCACCTTGTATGAGGTGATGGGCCGGACCATACCAACCTGCGCTGAGGAGGGCGAGAGGATGACTTCAACCAGAGAGTAGTGCGACTCTTTCTTCTTTGTAAGACTGACAAGCAAGACGAGGTGCTGCAAGTTGATGTCGTCTGAGGCCATGGCATTGCTGAGCCTGCTCATGTCCCGGTACTTGGCGTCCAAGCCCTTTGGCACAAACGCAAGGTCGACAACCTCGAATGTGTCGTGGTGGAATTCTCCGCTCGATGGGTCAACTTCGCGAATAGCGTCGATGATCTCTTCTTGCATGTCCGCCTCAACAATCGTGTCGTGGTGTCCTCCGCGGTGGATCCTCCATGCGTGCAGCCTCCCCTTGAGAGTAGCAGCAACAACATTGCGTTCGCCGACCCGAGTGGTGCGTTCTGCTCGTACGGCGGCAATATCCCCGCGGCCAGCGGTGTGCGTAAGAGCATGGCGAATGCTTCCGAGAAGTCCTCCGGCCGCGGGTCCCAGGCTCGTGCGGAGGAATTGGACCGAAATCGTGGGTCGGCCGTGTCCGTCGCGAACGCTCATGTACGCCAGCCTGCCGCTCGTAAAGGCAAGGACGAACCCGGCGGACTCGGCGTTGGTGATCTGAATGACTCTCTCGCCCGAGTACATGCCAGATATTGATCCCTCCACACCATGTCGTTGTTGGCGGATGAAATCCAGGGTTGCCGCGCTCGAGATGGACTCCCAGTACGCAATTTTTCCACTCACGGGCATGACAACCACCAGGCCCGGCTCTGTAGAGGAGGCTGACGGCGACACAAGACAGCCCAATGGAAGAGGTTCTGAAGTGTGCTTCGAGGGATATGGGAGAGTGAAGGTGAATGTCTCGGGGGATTGGGTAGGGTTCGTGTATGGCCAGACGATGGCGTGTGTATGGGTCAAGCTAAGGGCGTATCCGTTCGAGAAAACATCGCCATGTTGCTGAGCTTCACGGAGGGTTAGGTGGTAATGGGCGCGTAAATTGTAGAGAACGTACCTGAAGCATCCGCACGGATGCGGTCTGGAAGCGCAGGGAGTTTGCTCACCGTGTAGGCGTTATTCGTCGTCTGGAAAATTGTTAGCAGCCGTCGAGGACGCAATGCGACCGAGGTGAGACCTACCAAAACAACGCTTCCATCACCCTTGGTAGGTCTTTCGCCGCCCTTGGGCTTTTTCGCGCGTACGCTGAGCTCCTTCCTCGGCGTGGGCGTGATGGGGTGGTGGTTTTCGATGCCGTCTTGCCGCACGTCGAGCGTCGCAACTTTGTCGGACTTGACCTCGTACATCTCCGGGGCAGGCGCGTTCGATACATCGGGGTTGGTGAAGGTCTGTTCGGTCAGAGGGAGACGCTGGCGCTTGGCCTTGGGTTGTTGAGCGAGGCTCTCATTGCTGACGGGCCGCTGGCGTCTTCTGCTTCGCGTGGCGGTAGCAGGGCCGCCTTCGCTCGCGGAGGGAGAAAACATGGTGATGTTTCGAGCGACCGGGCGCGAAGGGGGTGGTGGTATTCGGGGTCGCCGTGGATGGTGATGATGTTCGATTCGGTTGATGGAGGAGGATCAGAAAAACATTTCGAGGATGAATTCTGCGGCCTAAGGTATTGTTAGGGAAAGCGGAGTGCCAGGGACGTAGGTGGCAGACTCCAAAGCGGATTTAGCAAATATGTGAGAGTGACGAAGCATCAATCGATTGGGTCTTGTCGAAAAAAACACAAGGTTGCTGCATCTGCCAAGCACGGACCACCAGCACCAGCTCTGGGTGGTGCTAAGAGAAGCTCACCTCTCACCTCACTGAAGTCGGGAGCGGTTTGTCAGGCCTCATTGGCTCCAGGCGGCTCCAAGTGGCTCCCCAGTGGTGCGGCGTGCAGGCTCTCTGCAGCTGTGCAGCCGTGCCAGCTGAGGCGGCGGAAGGGGCACCAGGAGCACTGAGATACTTCCAGCGCGTTGGTCCCGGTTCCGGTACGTACCTGCTTTGGCATGGTGCGTCTGACCTGATGAATGTCTCTGATTGGCCGACTCCGCGATCGTACTGGAGCCTGCTGAATCGCCGCATTGGAAGAAAATAGGGACCCTTAGTGGAGCCATGGAAACCAAGTCAACAACGTCACTCCCAGCGTCGGCCCTCGGGAACTGACGGCGGGACACTGGCCGCAGATAGAACCATTCTGATGTCTGGATACAAAAGGAAATATCCACCAACTCAGACTCTCTATCTTCCCCCCAGGACCTGAGGCATACAGTTTAACAGCTCAAATAACCCTCGCTCAAGTAACAGAAACCTTGAGACTACGAGGGTCAGTCGATATCAATCTCATCGTCATCCTGCCCCATCTACGCCTCTGTGGAACATTCCGCCCGAAGTCTGTTGACTCGCAACCAACTCACAATCTCCGGGGAATGCTTCTGGTGAGAGCCCTGCTTATGCTATCCATGGTTCAACGTAGCCAATGAGCAACCCGATTTTTCACACTATTTCGAAAAAGGCCAGACGGGACTTACATGCGAACTGGCTCGGTCCTGTTGTCGACTGGAGGTATATCGCCGATCAACCTGAGCTGCCAGGATGCTAAGAGAAGGACTCACAGCTGATTTCATATTTCTTTGGATCTGGCCATCAGTGTAGTAAACGGTTTACACTTGGCCTAGATCGTCATAAGTGGACTTCCAGGGTAGTCTGCACATTTGGTTTCCTCTGAAACTTAGTCCCGAGCTGGGGATCTGGAGCCGAGCTGTCCTCCGACCTCAATTTCCTAAGTTCCTAGAACTTCACAAAAGGCCGGCGACGTATATGCCTTCATACTGGCCAGTGATATTGCACGGGACACGCGCCAGTAGCTTTGACTAGCTCTTTCACACCGCAGTATCCTTTGTGCGGCTTGTACAGCCTTTCTTTTTAGCTATCGTTTCTTTATCAACACAACCATCAACGACGATGACCATGATAACGAGGAAACTGAGACTCAACTCGGTCAAGATGGCCCTCGTGGGTCGCCAGTACTCAACTGCCATGGCCATCACCGATCCGCTCGTCAAATACCGCACCCTCATCTCCACCAAACTTCTCGCCCCAGACCCCTCTCAACACCGGCTGGCTATCCATCTTCAAAAACTGTATACCCGTTTGAAAGACTACGCCCCGGAAGAGGACTATCGGGAGCGCCTGAAGCAAGTCGCCGACATCCCCGAGGCTCAGGACCCCGAAGAGGCCGCTGCAAGATTGGCCATGCCAAACCATCCCATATGGGATAACCCGCTGTTCAAGCATGTGTCAAAGAAGATCATGCCCGAGACGAAAGACCCCAACCCGATGGCTCTCGTCAGAGTCATGACCAGCCTCGAGGGCGCCATCACCATCAACTCCCCTAGAGGTCTCTTCCTCTCAGGCGAAGTCGGCGTCGGCAAGTCGATGTTGATAGATCTGCTGGCTCAGGGCCTGCCGACAGAGAAGAAGAGGCGGTGGCACTTCAACACGTTTATGCTCTACACATTCTCACAGCTCGAGAAGTTCCGTCGGTCTCACCCAGAGCTAAGCGGCAACGAGAAGGAGTACTCCATGCTCTGGCTCGCCAAGAAACTTGTCGAGGAGTCTCCGATCCTGTTCCTGGATGAGTTCCAGCTTCCGGACAGGGCAGCAAGTAAGATCCTGTCCCACCTGTTCATAGCCTTCTTCCACCTCGGCGGGGTCCTCATCGCATCATCCAACCGCATGCCTGAAGAACTACAGAAGGCCATCGGTGTCGAGTACACGGTCCCTCCGTCAGACGGTTTCCTGAAGAGTCTCTTTCTTGGTGGCGCACGATCCAAGGCTACTCTCCACAGTCAAAACGACTTCGCAGCTTTTCTGGAAGTGTTGAAGGCGCGATGCGACTTTTGGCACATGGAAGGGGCAACGGACTTTAGACGTCGTGAAACTGGTGAGACTATTGCAGTCGAGGCCCCTGTAGCTGGCTTTATAGGTGGGGAGGAGCTGGCTAAGAAGGAGCCCAAAGACGGTATGTTACCTTTACAGGCCTTGAATTATCTGTTGCCGAGCATACGATCCCCCTTTCATTCAACTCAACACCCACCCACCTCAGCATCTTTACTCGAACTTGCACCAATGCGTCCCATCTTAGTCAAGTTATCAGACTAACATCACTAGAAACATCAACACCTTCCAAGTACTTCCTGCTCACGCCCGACACAACCCCTTGGACAACTGCTCTAGCCCAGCACCTCTCCCACTCTTGGTCCTCAGCAACGCTGACAGTATACGGCCGCACAATCCCCATCCCCCGCCAACACGGCGGCGTGGTTTACTGGGACTTTGACGCCCTCGTCGCGACCCTCGGCCCGGCCGACTACGTAACCATGGCCTCGACCTACCACACCTTCATCATCGACAATGTCCCTACCCTCACGGCCCTGCAGAAGAACGAAGCCCGCCGCTTCATCACGCTCCTAGACGCCCTCTACGAAGCAAGGTGCAAGCTGTTCGTCCGCGCCCAAACGGGGCCCGACGATCTCTTCTTCCCAGACATCCGCGCCCAGGAGGAAGCTGTGGCGGCTGCTGCCGCCGCTGGGGAGGAGGTCGTCGACTCTGACGCGATCCACTCTGAGACGATCGCCGAGGTTTACCAGGACTCCGCGGCGCCGTTCAGACCCAACATCTCCTTCTACGACACGGAACTTCCGACGGCCAAGTATGACCCCGACCAAGACTCCGACTTTGGCAAGCTGGGTCACGTTGGTGGAGGCGGCGGGAGCCCCAACTTCAGCAACACGGCAGCATTCACGGGTGAAGACGAGCGGTTTGCGTACCGTCGTGCGGCGAGCAGACTGTGGGAGCTGTGTAGCGAGGCATGGCATGCTCGAGGAGGTTCACCTGGGGAGTGGTGGACTCCTGTGCCCAGGGCGTCGCGGCACTGGGAGAACTCCTTGCCATCCAAACCCAAGAAGGACGAGCCTCTGCCGCCGCGCGCCAGACAGGCGGATGCCATGATGGGTCCGTCGAGGCCTGTTGACGGACCGTTCGGTACCGACAAGCTCGTTATTGAAAGACGAGAAGCTTTGGAGGAGGCGGAGCGCAGGGTCGAGCAGTTCAGTGGGAGGTGAAGTTTTTGGTTGTTTGGAATATCCATGTTTAGATCCGATTTAGGATAGCATGTACCGGCGCATAGCATAGCATTTTGGCGACGCTGGGCCCACGCACGCGCCCGTCGCATCGGGCGATATAAACCTTTGTGTCTCGTGATAGATATCTTACAACGCCGCCAGTGGGCCCTGGCCCGACACAATATAGAATCGCAATTCGATTTACAGTACCTCCCGTCTTAGAAACGCCATAAACTCCTCATTCTGGAAGCTTTCCAGCCGTCTCACAGTGTCGTGACACCAGGCGTCCAAGCCTCACCAATCCTCCGTACATCCCCCTCAAACTTCTTGCTCTTGATCACCCTGCCCCCGCGTCCAGACACCGGCGAGTGTTCGTCGGGCTCGTAAAAGGGGTTCTGCAGCAACCTGACGTAGGCGCTCTGCACCGCCCTGAACACGACCCGCAACTCCTGCTCACGAAGCCCGACAGCTCCCCGTCCTTTAGCAGAAGCCGCAGCGGCGTCGCCGCCGCCGCCGACCCTCCGCCCGCGCATGTCCACGACGACGACGATCTTGACGCCCGTGTTCGTTTCCCAGCCGTACGCGGCGAGCCGCTCGTCAACCGCGTGGAGGAGGCCGACCTCGCCTGAGAGACCGGAGCCCCCACTGGGAGCACCTGCCGCATTGGGCCCGCTTGCGTTGTGTCGTAGTTCGAAGATATCTAAGGTCGAGGAGAGGAGGAGGGAGAACTGGAGGGGCGTGCGGATCAGGGCGAAGGTGTTTGTTGACGGGTTGTACGACGGGAATATGGAGATGTGGAGGGGGTTGTTCTGTCGCTCTCGTCAGCATCGCTCTCGTCAGCAAGTGTCGTCCTTGCCAAAGAGCTCCAGCCAAGGATGGGCGGTTTGAGGAAGAGCTCAGGAGCATGCGGAGGGGGTGGCCTGTCTGCGATTGGACGTACGTTGCGGCCGATGATGCCTATGCAGGCTATTGAGGGGATCGCGGTCGCCATAGCCACATTCGCCGTGCTTCCTTGCGCTGTGCTGGTTTCGGTTGGCGCTGAATTTGCGGCGGAAGATGCGTAATGCGGTTGATGGACACGGTATGCTTGAGGTCGAACGTCGTCGCAGAGGAGGGTTGGAGATTGGAGAGCTGGGGTAGGTACCTTAGCTGTGGTGTCGGCGGGAGCTTAATTGATTTTTGGGTCCCTCGAGTGCCCCGCATCGATGTCAGGGGTCGCTGTGGGAGGAAAGGCAACGGATCTTCAACGGCTGCCGCTGCGTAGCTAGCACTCGGAGCAATGTCAATATTAACAAAATCGCCTCTGGTGCTCAAATATGTGTTTTGCAGCAGTCAGCATATTGCAGACTTTCTGGTAAAATAAAGTTACACATTGTGAAGAAAGATCCATTACTCCAGTAACCATCAAACAAGCTGGTAAAGATGGACCATGAGACGAGCTCTCGTGCTCGTGCTTGGTAACGAAAGCGCCAGACCAATAAACCCCATATTCCGCATAAAGACATTACAGCTCCTCATTCAGCATCGTCGTCCGACCAATGCTCCGTATCCTCGAGTCCCTTCAGCACTTCTTCGATCTCGTTCGGGTCCGTGATGGCCCATACGCCACCGCCTTTGACCGAGTCCTTTCCTCTCATGCCCACCTCCTTTCCGACGAGGTTGCGTCCGACCTTGCCGGGCCCGATACCAACCCACCGCCTCACTTTCTCCTCCTGGTCGAGATATTTGATACTGTCCCACCACCTCACCGTCTCTAGGCATTGCCGCGCTAGGAGATCCTTCACGTCCTCCTTGCTCTCAAACGGCCTCGCGCTGACGTTGCTTATACAGGGCAACTTGCCCGGGAATGTGATGATATCCTCCCCTTCACGCCCTTTGACCCTGCTCTTCCTGTGTAGAATATTTTTCACAACCGAGACCGCAGGCTTCATGATCGGGCTGTGAAACGGACTGTCGCTGTTCAACCGCACAGCGCGTGGGTCATGCCCCAAGAACTGCCTGACGTGTGTAGCAAGAGTCTTGATCCGCTCAATGTTGCCGCTTAACACGATTTGGTTCTTGCTGTTGATGTTCGCAATGAGCACCTGCTCTATCGGCGGGACGTCTTCCGAGCTCTCCCCCTTGGATCCCGCGCTCGAGTGTCCCACAAAGTCGTGTATAGCCTCGATCAGGCCCTTCAAGTACTCCGGTTCTGTTACAATAGCCACCATGCCGTACTCTCCGCCGTATTCATCCACAGCGCGCCTTGTCGCCTCATGCATGGCCTCGGCCCGCTTGCGCACCAGATATAAGCTGTCTTCGAACTCGAGGTATCCGCCCGCCACCAGCGCCGCGAATTCTCCCAGCGAATGCCCAAGAGTGACGTCGACGCGCTGTGGAATGTCGAAGCCGAACTCGCGCTGCAGAATGCGGAGGATGAGGATCGAGGTCGCCATGATGGCGGGCTGGGCGTTGGGTGTCTTCGTAAGCAGCTTGCCCGGGCCGTTGGCGATGATGTCGGAGAGCTTGTATCCCATGTAGTGATCAATCTCCTCCAAGATGGGCTTCGCCGTCGTGGGGAAGGCCTCGAGCCATGGCGTGATCATGCCGACCTTCTGCACTCCTTGGCCTGCGCGGTGTAACGTCAGCTCATCCGTCGCCAGCAAAGACGAGCTCGCCCCTCCTCCTGTTCCCCTCTTCGCTTCATGTCCACTGACCTGGAAAGAACAGCGCCGTCCGCGGCCGCTTCCCTTGCGTCGAGGCATGCCGCCGACTACTCCTGGAAGCAATGTCTATCGTATGTGTCGTTGTCGCATTACATTTTCTGCCGAGGCAGCCGAGCCCATCAGCCCATATGCGTTGGCCGCCTCGGCGGAGGTAGTGAGTTCCAGGAGCTGTCATGGCCAGTGACGCCAGCCGATTACAAGCTGGGGGAGCTAGATTATCGCGAACATGAGCTTGTGTCGACAACTCCCATGCGAATTTTGAAGCAAGCACAAAAAGCCTAGAGAGGACTAAGAGGGAGAGAAGTAGGAGAGGGAACAAAAAAGTAAACGAGTCTCAAGTTTGCGCGACCCAGACCGTCGAATGTGTCACACAGCCAACCTAAGCCACGGGCGGCATAGGGAACGTGGTAGTGGCGTTCAATGCCATGACGCCAGATGGAATTGGCGGATGCTCCAAGTGGCCGCCCCTAACCGAGTCCCGAGGCCGATGGACCTCTCGCTGGAGTACCCCGCGATTGCACGCTGAAGACGACCTCTTACAGCGCGTTTTCTGGGTTCCGCTGCGCCGGGCGGGGCACATCAGCAGATGCTCAGCAGATCATTTCAGGGACCAGGGGGGGCCGATGCGATGGAGATCTGTAGATTCGTTGTTGGATGCCGAGTCTTGAAGAGTCATAGCTCTTCGATTGAGGCACCCGACATTGAAAAACATGGCTAGAATGCGTCAGAAGCAACAGCAGTGTCAATCACCGTTGCCATCTTGATATGTCTTCTACCTTAGTGCCCGACTAGCCGTTAAGCTAACAGAGTCATTGATCGAGAAGCATGTGAAATAACCAATGTTTTTCAACTCTAAGTCATTATTTTCGCCTGACCCTGCCGACTAACATCGCGTTTCTACACCGCCCTTGCTGACGGTCAAGTACTTGACTCCTTTGTATGGTTTAACACCCTCTCCCAGGCCTTTGCTCTTGCGAGGGTCGATCAAAATGCTTTCCACTTTAAGACCACTCGGTAGCCAACCCTTTACCGAGAAGCTCACCGAGGCTGAGCTGGGCATCAGCATCTTGTTTTGCGCCACTTTCTTCGCGTCTTTCTCGTCGTCAGCCTTTTCCGTCGTCTTCTTCGCCCTGACGGGGCTTGTTGCTTGATAGGGTTCATCGTAGGCATACGACTTCCCGAATCCGAATCCAGTAGGGTCCAGCTCATCGTCCTCATCGTCAGGCAGCTGGCCAACAACTGTACACCGAAGACCGAAGTAAGAAGTGCCGACGGACAGCTCCTTTGTAGGAATGTGCCACTCCAGAACCTTCTCACCAGGACTGAAGCTCGCGTCTCCCTTGCTAGGCCGCAATTCCGGGAGGTTTCTAACCTCAGCTGGCAACGGCACCGTAACGATGAGATCCTCCATCAGCGGCGATGCAGGTGTTCCAACATGGGGACCTCCAAATCCTCGACCTGCACCGCCTCCGCCTCTGCCATATTGGCTTTGTGCAGACGGACCTCCTGTGCCTAGAACCTTGTTCACGTGAAGCCGAACCTCGAAATCAGAGCCTGTCGGTCCAAGTCCGGTTTTCATCTCAATGTTGACAGGCAGCTTGAGATTATTTGAACTGATGTTGCCACTTTTGCCGCTTGTGAACGGGAGCAAGTCGACTTCGTAGCTAGCCAAGATGAATCGGCCGTCTGGAGGTATGAAGCTCAGCTCCCCTGGCCTCTCTTTCCATCTTGCCAGACGAACACATGGGTGGAACACAGGGAGGTCCATAAAACCCGCCAAGTTGTGTTTGCCCGATGGACTTGTTAATGTCATGACGATGTCAGGTACGCCTGACACCTTGCAGGTGAATGCTATTGTTCCATTGGAAAAAGCGGCCAATGGTCTTCCCGAAGGAGCAAGTGTGACTGTAAGAGTCTCGACGATATCTGCGTACATCTCGTTGGAGGTATGTCGTACATTGGCTCGACGCCAAGGTAAGGCCGGAGTGTTTTGTGCAATTATCGACGGTGCGCTTGAGTTCGAGAAGCTTGTGCCAAAGTTTCCAGGCTTCCTGCTCAGATTGTCAGATGCGGCTCGTCTTGAGCTCTTGAAAATATCTCTTACCCTGGTAAATTGATGCTCCCCAACAGCTTTCCTACCCAGCCCTCAACCTCGACCAAATCCCTCAGCGCATTTGGTTCCGTGGTGTTGATGTTGCCGGCATCGCACATCTCGTTCAAAAGCTGCGCTACGACGTCGTAGTTGCTCTCGATCTTGTGCGCCAGCAAGGGAGCACCAAGGAACTCTTCAAACACATCGATTATGCGGTGTATGAACTCGAGGACGAGGAGAGGCTCGATATCGGACGAGGAAGTAGCCAGGAAGAGGAGGTTGGCGTGCTTGAGGCTGAAGACGAGCGTCGGAGGGCTTGTGTTTGGCAAGTATAATACGTTCGGGCGCGGCGCAGGATGCTCTAGGTAGAGGGGTAGAAGATGCTGTGCCGACAGCGGGCGACCCGTGTACGTGTGCGACAGGATGGCATGGCTGCGCGGTGTCAGTATCTCTCACTGAACGGGCCGACTTCAAGAGATGACTGACTTGTGCTCATCGTAGATGTGCAGCGCCTCAATAACGCCGTTCATCGTCAGGTCGGCATCGGAGGCTGCGCCGTGTAGTTGATGAGTGTGTGGGGGGAGGTTCTGGCTCTCCCTCTTGGTGACAGTCGGTGCTTGGCCGCTGGCGGGAGCTCCAGCTGCCAGGAACCACCGTCCCGCCATGGCGCACATGCTCGATGATGAAATTAAATGTTAGTGCAAGGGAGCGGCTCCTCCCAGCCAATCACGCGCCACGCAACCCTGCTTCCATCTCAAGCTGCCCCGGATTGTACGGTGCATCGGAGCCTTTGGTCGCAAAAACACCTGACGATCTTCCAAACCTCTTGGGGCAGTTCAAGCACCACACAACAGCCATGTTTGGAGGAGGAGACAAAGTCCCCAACGTGGGCACCCTCGACAAGCCCGAGAAGCTTGACGATCTCCTGCGCGAGGACCGCGGCGATGATTGCATGTCCTGCAGAGTTGTCGGTAAGAGCAATGCGTTCCCATGCCGTTGTAGGCGACAAAATACTAATGTTATTGCATTCAGGAAGCGGTGCATTTCTCGGTCTTGCAGCCTACAACTACATGTCCGGAATGGGCCAACTCGAAAAGAACCGTCCGTTAATCCTCAAGTCCAAGTCAAAGTTCGGTATGCAGAGTCGCAAGATGGGCATTATCAGCATCTCCATCGGCTTGACATACTTGGGAATCTGGAGATTCTTCAGATAATGAGATGTAGGCCAATAAGGCACTTGGAAGCTTTAATCACCACTCAACCCATACACATACACACGAGAAGAACTCGTCGCCAGGCTCAGAAGAGACGTTGCGGAGGTCAACCCAGGGCCGTCGCATCGACAGCCAGCTGTAGTGCGCAACACGAGACGCCAAGGGAGCAGTCATGCCGCCGGCTGGGGCAGATATTTCCCTCCCATGCGATGCATACTCCGTGCAGGGACTGTTCATGCCTCTCGCCATCTGTGCAGCGAGCAGATGTTGTATGCATGCGCTCAAAAGCTGCGACAGAGCTGTACCATATACCCATGTATGAATGAAGAACTCTAGCTTGTAATCAATTCAGTAATAGAAAACAATTCATTCTATGCACCTGGACGGGACTTTTTCTGTTGTTGGGTTGCCAAAATGCAGTGGCTCGGCGACGGTCCATCAACCGCATGCTCTGATCTGCCCCTCCATAGCTTCACCAAAAATTCTTTGCACCTCAATGTCAACCACGCAACACCACCACAATACCCCACGAAACCCAGCCAACTTTGCGATTGGTGCCTAAAATCGAGAGAAACGAGCTCAAATTTTCCCGACAATCCAAATTTCGCCTGGAACCGACTGAGATCTAGCATCATCGTCACGTCCCGTCCTCCTACGGCCTCGTCGCCGTCCTCTCTTCAGAATGCCCATCACAATCCTCGCCCCGAGAGGCACACCGGCACGGCCAAAGCTCGCACAACGCCCCAGCGACTCCGACTCAGATTCCGATGGCGGCGTCGACATCGAGGGCGATGTCTCCATGTCTCGCCCAGCGAAGCGCCCTCGCGGCGACAACTACGAGATCGTCACGCCCGGTGAAGTCATCACCGACGACCCCCAGTGGATGAGGTTCGTGCAGCGCCGCCTCCCCTCCCTCGTTTTTCTTTCTGCTGTACCGGTGCACTTCTGAAGAGACATGTAATCTGACTTCCCACGCAGAGGCCACGGCACCTACGTCACCCCGAGCACCACCGAAATCGTCTCCTCCGTCGCGGGAACCGTAACCCGCACCAACAAACTCCTCTCCGTCCGGCCCCTGCGCGCCCGCTACACCCCCGAGATCGGCGACCTCGTCGTCGGCCGCATAGTCGAGGTCCAGGCCAAGCGCTGGCGCGTCGACGTCGGCTCCTCGCAGCTCGCCATCCTCCAGATCTCCGCCATCAACCTGCCTGGCGGCATCCTCCGCAAGCGCACCGACACGGACGAGCTCCAGATCCGCTCCTTCTTCGCCGAGGGCGACCTCGTCGTCGCGGAGGTCCAGCAGCTGCATCAGGACGGCGCGGCGAGCTTGCACACCCGTTCCCTGAAGTATGGCAAGCTGCGCAACGGCGTCTTCTGCGCGGTCAGCGGCACCGGGGGCGGCGGTGGTGTGGTGCGTGCCAAGAGGCAGCAGTGGGTTATGGACGCGGCGAGGGGCGCGGCAAAGGTTCACGTCACGCTCGGCGTCAACGGGTTCATCTGGATTGCGAAGCATGTCGAGAGCGAGATGCCCGAGTCAGTCGGGCTGAACCGCATGGAGGAGAGCGTGAGCGCCAACGTCTACTCCAGCCAGAACGACCAGATCGATGTCGAGACCATGCGGGAGATTGCGCGTATACGGAGTGTGATTTTGGCGCTGGTGGAGAACGGCCTGCGCGTTGACGAGGACTTGTTAGTCAGGGGCTACAAGGAGGCTGTCGAGATTGGAATGGAGAGCGTCGAGGACGACATCTACCTTGGAGGTGAAAGGGGGAAGCGGCTTGCAGAGGCCTTGCTGAAGGACTAAGCATATCACTCGGCTACATTGGGGACGTTCGAGAACCAGGAATAGATCATGTTCGTGGAAAATGTCTTGAGACCAAGACTCTAATAGACAGGAAGGGTTCAGTGCAACCACCAAGAAAAACCCAGAGTCCGCCAGACACAGGAACGCTATGCAGTATTTATCTATAGGCCATATTGTTCGGCCATGGTATCATTAATCCCAACAGCACGACAAGAAGGAGCCTCTCAAGAGGTCTCCACGAGCTCCGCGCCAGCGAAATATCCCTTGTTCTCGATTACGCCTCGGTCCTTGACGAAAGCCGTGTACTTGACCACCCATTCCGGCACGAGGTCGCCGTACAGGCCCTCGCCGCCTTCAAGAGGGTCAGCGAGGACGCCAGCGCCCTGCAGTCCGTGACCCAGAAGCTCGCGGAGGGTGCCGCTAGGCAAAATGTCGGTGCAGTCGGTGTGGACAAGCAATTCGACGCCCTCTGTCTTGGCCAGCTTGACGAGAGTTGGCGGCACGCTACAGCAGTCCTTCGTGTTGATCTGGTCAACGGCGGGACGGATATCGACCTTTTTGATGAACTTTGCAAGCTTCTCGGTGCCGAATTCAGAGATGCCGAGGGTCTTAACCTCACCGCGGCGGCACAGGTCCTCGAGTACCGTCCACGTCGCGGCCTCCTGGTCGATGTTGCCTTGGCTGGCGTTGCGCTTGTCAGCCTCCCACTCACAATCTCCCTCGAAGGACATTCCCGGGAATGAGGCGATCAGAAGATCTATCGTGGTGACGCCGAGTTCCTTCCGGACGAGGTCCAGCGCCTCCTGCACGTAGCGCTCGCGTTCTTCGGCAGGCGCGTTTGGGAGGAAGAAGAGCTTGACAGTGATATCGTAGCTTGTCGGCTCCTCTTGCAGACCAGAGTAGGACCAGTCTATCCGTGGAATGTAGAGGGCACCGTCTTCGCGAGCGGTCCAGATATCGAGGCGGGGCCGGCCAGAACGACCGTTCTCGCCGTTGGAGTAGCCATTCGAGTTTCCGTTCAGGGTTCCGTCGGCCTCGTCATCGTCGATGGGGGATGCCTCCGAGTAGGGCGAGTAGTCCTGCTGAGCAGCGAGAAAGTTGCTTCGGAGCGAGTTGGTGAGTTCGAGGTTTGATCTGTATGCGCCTGGTTTGCGGATTATGGAGGGGCCGCCCGAGACAATGTTTCTGCACGCGGCGGAGGATCACCAATCAGCTTCAGGGCGCAAGTATGAATAATCAAAGAAAAATTGGGAAAATGCAACGCACCCCGTAGATAGGATTAGTTTCGTCATGATGGGCGGGTAATTATGGAGGTCGTAGAATATTCGTAGGGAGACGTGAGGTTGAATTTGGCTCTGGGAACTGGTCGATCGGAGCAGATTGCGTCGTGAAGGGTTCTTATCGCGCAATATGATGGTGTCGATTTGACGTCTGTCGCACTTTTTTCTGGGTGCCGTACCTTTTTTTTTTTAGAGTTTGGAGGGGTTGATTAACAATCTGAGGGGAGAGGGTGCCGATAAGGATAGGCTTGGTAATGTCGGTAATCACAGGTCAGAGAGGTCAATTAATAATGGTTGGCGCACGACATGCGAGATTCGGCTTATTGTGGGAAATAAATCGGAGAGATGCGGTGCAATGTGCCGTGCCTGGTGTGGACGTCGTGAAGAGTATGCAATGCCGGTATGTGGATGGCTTCTAGAAGATGTCGAAACCTGGGATCCCTAGGTGGAAAGATGTTTTGTTTGTTGATCGATTGGTAGCGTGGTTTGTCTGAATGGAATAATTGAGGACAAGAGCGGGAAGGGCGCCGGGGGCTGGAATTGGTGCCCTTTTTCATAGACGGGCCGGAGAATCGACGAGTCGTCTCAGTGACAAAAATGGATGACTGAATCAAGACAAGAATCGTCGATTTCCCTTGTCCAAAGACGCTGTCCGCACATTCCCCCTCACCATCCCACCTTCCACCCCTCCTCTTCCGCGGTGAACTCGGCAGGAACCCGACTCCGGGGGGCAGGTCATTGGCGCATAGTGGGGTGTAGCATATCGCGTCAGCGCCTCTGGGCAGATTTGTATGCACTTCAGCGTGCTGCGTCGTACCTCCCCCCACTGGCCACGACCTATGAGCTGCTGTTATCTGCTTGAATCGTCGTGGTTTGGCTCTGTCCGACTCAGACCTACATCTCACGCTGAAGATCTGAGGCACGAAGCCACCGGACGCCTTCTCCCGAGCACCAAGCTTGTTTTGCTAGGACCTAGATAGGCTTTGGCTCATGGGGTACATCCGCTGGAGGAAACCCAGACCCGAGAATTCCCATAGCGGGCTAACACACTGTGGCGCGCTGCTGACTTCCACCGAGCGCCCTGTAGCCTCCCTGGGCTCACCGAAGGCCCAGTCAGCTACGGATATGCCTGCTGCCTGAGGATGCAGCACCTGCCAGAATTGACACCTTGCGCTGCCCAGCCTGACGAGACCCCGGCTTCCGCCAAGGGGGAAAGAACACCATCGACGACCGAACCACACCTTGCGCAAGAGTTCGTCGCCAACCTTAGTCTGCTGCTCGGTCTGCTCTGCTCAGCCGCCGTACTGCATCGGACTGCACTGGATTGAGATCCACACAACATCTCCCAAGACCATCTCTCGACCCAAACATCTCTCTAGTCCACCCTGCTGGGTGATGTGAAAGCATCATCATGGCCATCCAGTATGCTCCCCCATCACCCTGTCCGCTGGTGCATCCGAGCAAAATAGCTGAATGACGGCGCAGATACCTCATTCTTCTCTCCCGTCAGGGCAAAGTGGTATGATCTCATCCCTTGGACACGAATTCCGTCGGCGACTACATTGCTGACCACGTCCCCTCTGCAGCGTCTGGCAAAGTGGTTTACCACGTTGTCGCCTAAGGAGAAGGCCAAGATTGTCAAGGACGTCTCCCAGCTGGTTCTGGCTCGCAGAACTCGCATGTGCAACTTCTTAGAGTACAAGGGTCAGTTTCCCCTCGTCATACATATCGACAGCACCAACTGATGATCCTCAGACTCAAAGATCGTATACCGCCGATATGCCTCGCTCTTCTTTATCGCCGGTGCCGCCTCCGAAGACAACGAACTGATCACCCTCGAGATCATCCACCGCTACGTCGAGCAGATGGACAAGTACTACGGAAACGTGTGCGAGCTTGATATCATCTTCTCATTCACGAAAGCATACTACATCCTGGACGAGCTGTTGTTGGCAGGAGAACTGCAGGAGAGCAGTAAAAAGAACGTGCTACGGTGTATATCGCAGCAAGACTCGCTCGAGGATATGGAGGTACGTTTGCTGCATATTGCTTGCATGTTGCTTTGGTTGGGTTTGAACCGCGTGCTTCCACAACTATGACCTGCAGCTGCGCCACCGGCGAAGTTCATGGCTGACAATCTCCCCCCAATCCCACAGGTCGAGGACGAGGTTACAAAGATCATGTAACCCGCCTCCAGTGTGTAGCTACCCATGGATGGCGACACGATTCCCGACAACGAGTCTCGATCCAATCTACGAAATTCACATATACTTGACACTGGCTGCAAGAGGGCGTGCAGCTTTGACGAGCATTTGGCTAATGGGCGCTCTGCCATTCATCCAGGAAACGGAAGAGATCACATCGTCGCTCAAGAAAGTGGGCATCCTCTGAGGCGTTCAAGCCGATCGACCGTCGGTGGCAGAGTCAGAGGCAGATCGCGTTGGGGCGACAAGGCCGATGCGCGACAGTGGGACAACAGCACAGAGCAGGTGCGATGGCGGACGGAGGGGCCCGATTGGCCTTTTGTGTGCATAGATCTTGGAAGATGGAAAACCATCCTCTGCAAATATCAAGAGAAGATACATGGATTGGTGCGGGTTGGGCAGATTAGCATCCGCGAGGCCCGTTGGCTTGGAGCCGTCCCCAGACACGTCGCAGACGCAGACCACGGGGCCCGAGTCGGCGATGGTACTCGACGAGAGCTGCACCCCGGAAAAGGCATCAAAGCTGCTAATAAAACTAGTATTACGCCGCGAATGAAGGTCAGTTGTATGGGAAGCTGCAATTGTGCATTCAGACTGTATGAAGTCATGTCTCGAGATGGGGCGTCCAGCTTCACTCACTCGTGGCCTCTTGACGCCATCTCATTCGCCTGGAGATTACCGGCTGCGCCCCCCTTTCACGGCGAGGAGTGGAGCGGACTGTTCTCGGTCACGAGTGGTCCCCAACAAGCAAGAAACAGACAGGGACTGGACCCCGACTCCCTAGGCGGTCCCCCGCGAATCCGGTGCCAAGGACGACGCAGGCCGTCGCAGCGCAGTGCGGCAGCCCAGCAGGACCAAGATACGCTTTGTCACAGACTCCCCGTTGGCCCCGCCCCCGTCCACTCTCGGCTCCTATCTTTGGGACTGGTCAATGGTCATCCGTATCTTTGATATGGTAAACCGTAATGCAGATGGGCCTGCCAACTTTCGCGGTCTGGCCATGTATGTGCGATTGGGCACTTGTATGGCCAATACCTACCTTACTTACGGATACGGCGCCAGCAGACTGGGCGGGGACCTTGTCAGCCCGGAAGCCAACCCGCTGCAGCGACACGACACAGACCAGCACCAGGCCATAGTCCACACCCAATACACCCCGGCGGCCCTTGGAAGGCGTCACCGCACCTCAGTCAGATCAGCCGAAGCTGCAACAGCACCACTGCCGCCGCCGCCAACTCTACCTTCCCGCCCTCTCCCGCCTGGTCTCTGCTTTAAACTCCTCCGTCACCCCATCCCTTACCCCTCCGTCTCCCGACTTCAACAACACCTCACCAAAACATCCGTTATTTAGTAATGTCTGTCGACCAGATCACTCACTAGGCGCATCGCGTCTAGCCTCCGTTCCACCACCCGAACCGAACTGATCAACAGGGTCGAGTCGCACCTTGCCATAGCTTATCTAGAGCAGGCAGGCTACCGGCTTCCTCCAACGAACCAGACAGCAACCTCCGCCATC